ACTGTTATTTGAAGATTTTTTGAAGAATCGGACGATAGTGCTGTGGTCCGCTGTATAGACCATTTTCCATCCATTGCGAGATCCTGCGTTATACGTCGAACATTAGAACAACGCAAAGGTCATAGCAGACGTTCGGTTTGCACCTTACGTGGAAAAAACTCTTATTGTTACTAGTAACGAATCGATTATTCGCTAGATTCTAATTTCGCCATTCTTCGCTGAGAAGTATAATTCACAGAATTAAATCAACGTGGACAATATAGAATAAACTGGAGGCCATCATCTTGAATCTCTGACGGACGGAAAAACTCTTGCAAATAGAAATAACACATGATATAGTGGTCCAATTCAGACAACAATGTCCATAGCAACGATATCTGCAAAAATAATTCATATGTGATCAGTTTTATTCCACAATGATATGATCTATATCAGAAATTTCAAATCATAACACAAACTTTGTCAGTTAGATTTAGTTAAACGTCACATAAAACATGACGAATTCAACAGAAATTGCGTGGAAACCAGGATATATTCATACCAGAATGAAGTCTGACACCTCACTATTCGTTTGATACAGTGGGTTTGTATTCACATTCCTTTATAGTGAAGAAATCATATTTTAATCACAAAACACAAAAACAAATTTGGCACCGTGTCGTGACAGCACCTCCAATTTGCATATATGCCTTCTCCGACGTTCGGAAAAATGTACATAAAAATCCCGACTCCATTGATAAATTTCATTCAACGCTGTTATTGTAGCGCCTCCTGATATTCCTATTCCGTCAAAGCATTCGTAGAACTTCGCCATGGTTGATTCCGCTTCATCGAAACCTGTCATGACGACGAAAGCAGTAGCAAGTCATCCTAAGACAATGGATATGGTTGTAGAAGCACTCACGACGCTAAAAGACAGAAAGGGAATTTCTGTACAAGCCATCAAGACTTATATTCTGACTCACTACACCACCGTTAGTCCTACTCACCTCACTTCTAGTCTACGCCGCGCTCTCAAAACTGGTCTTGAATCCGGTATGTTGGTACGTCCAAAGGACTCTCATGCCAATGGCGTAAGTGGTCGTCTTCGTCTCGGTAAACTTCCACAGAAACCTGAGAAGAAATCGGTTAACAAGACGACACCTAAGAAAAAGGCGGTCAAGAAGACCCCGAAGAAAGACAAAAAGCCGAAGGACAAGGTG